TCAATAATTTTTTTAATGATTTATAAGTTCAATTCTTGTGACTTAAAAAACAACTGCATTTAAGTACTTTTATTATATTTTTAAACCTTCTGCTGACTTAGTATATTTGTTAGTATATTCTGATACTCAAATTAATATAGAATTAATAAGTAAAATTAGAAGAAAAACTCTATTTAGTATACTGATTAGATATTGAAATTCTTAATTGTTATGAAGTATTTAATAACTTGATAATTAGTTAAAATCTTAAATATCTCTATTTTTTAAAGATTTTTCAACTCAGTACACTATGAGAATATTGATAGTGAATAAATTAAATAACAAAAAAAATATAAGAAACTTTATAATAAAAATTATAATAGAGTATAAATATAGATACTATAAATATTATAAAGTAAAAATAATAATAATAAGTAAAAAATATATATATAATTAAATAGTAGCTAATTACTACATTTTTTATAAAAACTTTAAACATTTAAAATATTTTATATATAAATAAATAGTAATAAATTTTATTTTTAATTATTTATAAAATAAAAAATTAATAATATAATAATCTAATTCTTTATGAAGTATTGATTCTCTTCTTTAAAAAGTGCTGATTCTAAAAAACTGATTTTTAAAAAGTGCTAATTCATACTAATTCTGAAATGCTGAATCTTAAAATAATACTCATTTTTTAAAAGATATTGATTTTAAAGTGCTTTAATAAGCAATGTGAGAAGATATTAATTTTAAAGTACTTTAGAAGTAGTATGAGAAGCAGTAAAAAAGCAAGAAACTGTTAGGGAGCAGATATGAGCTGTTTAAGATAGAATCTCTCTGCATTGCTAACTGCTATATAACAAAATACTAAGATTGGTGAGGAAAAGAGGTGTCAGGATTTGCTCAGATTATAAACAGCCTGTGTGGTCACATGATATATTGTAAACAATCCATGTGATCACATGACCAGATCATACTGGTCCACTGGGTTACATGTGAGGCACCATCATGTGGTCACATGATGGAGATAAACCTAGACCCCCTTAGCACTGAGCCCTGGTGCTGAGTTTAACATCACCCTCTGGTCTAGAAACAGGCATACTTTCATGCCAGTAGATTGTCATCATCTTCATCTTTCAGATAGCTGCCTGTTTTCTCATGCTCTTATTCATTCATCTAGATGTTTTGATGGCCTGGCTTTCGTAGAATTGACTTCATAAAAATCTTATATTACATATAGTGATTTCTTAAAATTATGAGCATAGTATTATGAAGAATTCTCATTAAATCTCTTTCAGTGTATCTGATACTGCAGCTTGCTTCAGCTTATTTGACTGGTCAGTATATGATTTATTTCTCATTTATTCTTATTATCTATTTCAATTAAGTATAGTGATCTAGCAGTCTGACTAGATAAAAAGTCTTTGAAGTTCTTGTATAGCTTGTCTGAGAAGAAAATTGAATAAATTTTTATTGTTGCAGAGAGATTCAGTTTGTAAACATTATTCATCTTTTTCAGAATTTTGAAGAAGTCAGCATTCTGCTCTATTAGTTTACAGCTTGATCAATTCATTTTATATGACTTCAATATTATATAGATATAATCTCTCACTGCAAAGTCAAACTCTTAATGATACTTATCAGTTTGTCTCCTCATCTGTTTCTATATTATTTTTATACTTTTGCTTGTCTGATTTCAGATCTTTCTCATTCAGTGAATGAAGCTTTTTGCTATTTTTCAATTTCTTCTCTTATTTATATTTAACTTCTTTGTCAGTAATTGTCAGTTAAATAACATTCATGATTTATATTCATTTGTTGCAAGAAAGAGAAAGATCTCTATAAAAGTATTTAAAATAGCTATGAAGACATAGTCTATAATAAGCAGTTATTCATTTTAGTCATCTTGATAGTAACTGATGTAGAGATGAAGATAGATAACAATATATTGATTTGTCACTTCTTTCTGTTTATCAGTTTGTGTGTGATGTACTATTAAGAGTTTCAGTTTTATGCTCAGAATGTGTATGAATTCATTTCAAAAGATTGATATGAACTGAAGATTTCAGTTAAAGACAATCAAATCAGATGTATAATTGTACAAGTAGTAGAATTAGATGAATAGTCAGACTAGCTCTCAGGCTGTAACTTCTCAGATGATTGAAATAAAGATTGTCTTCTTACTTAATCAGCATACTATAATCAAAGTAATATCATAATCTGTTTTGCTTTTTAACACATTTATGAAGTTCATTGCAACATATTGCCATGTTTATTTTGATACTGATAGTAATTTTAATAAGTCAAAAGTCTTATGTTTTGAAATTTTACTGACTTAGTATATATAACAGTTGTGAATGTAGTATAGAATATCTGTGTACTAGATGACTCATCAATAGTATAATTACATCAGAGTCAGAGTCTTTCATCTTTCAGAATATGCTGTTGAAGCTTGATTATGAATTTTTTGCAATAGCTTAGCTATCAGAGTTTTCTTTTATCAAACAAATACTACTAGTCTTTTATAGTACTGCAGCATATTGTCTTTTATTGTATAGAGACTATTCTCATTATTGATCTTCTACTACAGAGGCTCAATTGAAATGACTATTTTATTTAAAAATACTATATATTCAGTAATATTCTCTTTCTCTGAGGAGTTGATGCTAGCAATATCTATAGAAGAAGTGATCTGAGAATTAAAGATCTCTGATTCTAGAAGAATCTGCATACAGTTATTCTATTGCCTTCTAATCTGCTGAGATCTGCTCAGTGCATCTGTTAGCAGATTGACTTTATCTGATCAGTACTTGATTTTAAAGTAGAAATGAGAAAGAAATTCTGCTCAGCAGATTTGATATGCATATAACTTCTTGATAGTCATGAAGTATTTCAGTGCATAATGATTAGTGAGAATCTTAAATTATTTCTCTCACTGTAGTCTCTCAAGCTCTGCTTTTTATTCTTGTAAGACTCGGATCACTACCAGCATATTCTTATCATGAATCTCATAATTAAGCTCCACATCATTCATTAACTTTAAATAGAAGATTACTGAATATCAAAGATCATTTTTAAATCTTTGACTTAGTATCTCAGTCATCATTTTATCAAAGATATTAGTCTTAATATAAGTCTCTCACTCAGAGTCATAGTAGCATAGTATTGAAGTCTTCATCAGCTATCTCTTTAGTTTTTCAAAGACTGACTTGCATTCTAATGTTCACTCAAATGAAATAATCTTTTTTGTCAACTGATACAGTGATTTTGCAATTCAGCTGTAGTTTCTTATGAATTATCAGTAGAAATTGTCAAATTCTAGAAATAACTAAACTTCTTTAACTATAATTAGAATCTGTCATCTCACAATAACAGCTGTCTTCTCTGAGTCTGCCTCAATTTCTTCTGTACTGATAATGAACTCTACATATTTTGTTCTCTGAACTGTGAATTCACATTGCTGAATACTAGCTTGCAAATTTGCTGTCTTTAGTTAGTCTAGTATTAAGTTTATCTACTCTTTGTACTTCTTCAAATTCTTGCTATAGATTAGAAGATCATCTATGAATGCTATTATAAACTTGTTCAGGTAGTCAAAGAAGATACTGTTAACAAACTGTTGAAAGCAGGCAGGAGTATTTGTAAGATCAAAGAGAATTACTTAATATTTATAGATTCTATAGCAAGTTCTAAAGATGATCAGGTTCTCAGACTCCAAGTTCATTTAGATGTGATGGAACTTTTGTTAAATGTTTAGCTTTGTAAAGTATTTTGCTCTGTTGAGTCAGTTCATTAACTCATTTATTAGAGACAAGTAGTACTGATCTTATTTGATTATAGTATTCAGCTTGCAAAAGTCAACACAGAATCATAGCTTCTTCCTATTACAGACAATCAGAATTGAGAAGGTATAGAGGACTGAACTTGAGATGATGAAGTCCTTTGCTAGATTGACTTCAAGATATGTCTTCACTATCTCTAGCTCCTCTAGATTCATCTTATATAAAGATGTATGTCCAATGCTCTGAATGAGATCAATATCAAACTGAAGCTCTATTTTAAAAATAATATTGTTTTGTAGAAAAAGTAATTTATCTGATACTTTCTTTGAAAAACAGTTCTCTCAGTCTTTCAATTATTCTGATAAGTTGCTAATCAACTTCTCGTCAGATTTATTCTCAGCTCTCACTAAACCTCACTTCTTCTCAAGCTGTCTATCAATTTCATATATACTAGTTATGAAGACTGTTGAGTGCTTATTCTTCATATAATTATAAAAAAAAGTAGCTTCAATGAAGTTCATATTCATTATCTGCAGTTCTGTCTCCTCTTAGGTCAGTTTTTGTTTTATCTTAAATGTTATAACTGAGCTGATCTCTTTCAATTCACAGAGCTGAGTCTACTGCTTTTGCCTGATTTCCTCATTTAATTTAATCTCTTTTTATTTTATATCTGCCTAGTACTCAGACTTAAAGTCTGAATACTTCAGTATTGATCAAGATATTATTATCAACATTAGCTCTGCTATCTGTTCAGAGATAAACTGTTTACTTGATCAAATCAGATGTTGATTTTTTACATCAAGTCATATATGCTGTGCTGTCAACTACTTTTATCTCAGTATGACAGAGTGCTAGTCTAGATCTATTATCAGCAAGAGAACATTTTGAAATCTTCAGTCATTTACTAGAGATTTAGAGTTAATATGCAGTCTATTACTCTACCAGAAGCATTATTATATTTCTTCATGCGATATTTAAACAGAAGTTCTTGAAACTTCCTATTGAAGAATTTTACCAACTCTATGATATATCAGATATCAATAAAATTCACATCATTTACTTCAGTATCAGCAAGAGAATTTATAGAAGTAGTAATTTTATTATAGACTAACTTAATTAATTTATTAAAACTTTTTCTCTCAATCAAGTTTTTTATTTCAAATCTCTCACAGACTATAGAATTATTTGAGGTGAAGTCTTCTTTCAAACTCACTCTTTTTTCAAATTTACTAAAGACTCAAGAGCATCACTTTTTGTGAGCTCAGTAATCATCTGTTGAGACTTCTGCTTCACAGAGTAGTTTTTTGCAATATGGTCTTTCTTCTTGCAGTAGTAGCACTGAATGTCTAGACAGGTGTCTGAGACTTTTTTAATAATAATAGAGGATTTTATAGCAAAGATGCTGAGAGAAGTCTGACTATTGAAGATTTATGAGATGTTCTTTTTGAAGATATTAAATTCATTTTCTCATAAGCACTTTGATCTTTGAGTAACATTGATTGTCTGAAGTGTGTGAGCTGCCTGAGCACAGATTTTCTAAAACTCAAAGTATATATTGATAATTGCATTGACTACTGCTATTATTCTCTAAAGATCAAAGAACAGTTTATCATTGAAGTCTGTCTTGTAGTCTCTTTTGACAATCTTGACCTCATCTACCAGATGTCAGAATTTTGTGACAAATTTATGATAGTTGTCATCATTGTGTATAATCAACTTGTGATAATCACTTTTGATATTTTACAGCTTGTTAATATTCTAATATATTGACTTAAGATATTTAAATATCTCTTTTGTAGTTTGATATTGCTCAGAGTGATTCTCTTTCATATGAGATGCAATATGATATGCTGTGTTCTCATTAGTTCAGTTTTTAATATATGTAATTCTCATGTACTCAGTGAGATAGTGATCAGCATTCTCTTAGAGCTTGATCTTCATCTGAGAGAGTCAGTGTTTAAGTTTTAATTTCTTGTCATCAGTAAGATATTTTGAGTCATCAATCTTGACAGACCTTCTGAAAGTCTCAGAGAAGATGACATCTCAACTCACTACTTGATTGCTAACTATCATATGAATCAAGATATGGCTAAGTTCATCACATTCAGCAATTAACTTATCAATCTAACTCTGCTTAACAGTGGTCTAATTAGTAGTATTGTTCCATTCTATTCTCAGATATGTGATTGTATTTCTCAATGTCTTTTCATCATTAAAGATGTCATCAAAGATCATCATCAACTCATTATAAATATAATCACTGTCTAAGTGGACTGCTTTTTTGAATTTCTCAATTGAGATATATGATTGATTGATTAATTTTATTAAGAGGTATCATCAGTTCTTTTGACTTCTTTCAAGGGGTTGAGAGCCTGTGATGGTCATCTGATGTCAGATTATGCTGTTCTCTTCAATAGCTGACTAGACACATTGTCAGATTCTCAACAAGCAGATTTTAATTCAACTAATACACTTAAGTTTTTTACTGAAATCTAAGTGAAAAATAGAAAAGAATCTTAGTATTATATTAGAGAGCAGATGTAAGCTGTCTAAGATAGAATCTCTCTGTGTTGCTAACTGCTCTATAACAAAATACTAAGATTAATGAGAAAAAAAGATGTCAGAGTCTGCTCAGATTATAAACAGCCTGCATGATCATGTGACATATTTGTAAACAATCCATGTGATCACATGACCAGATCATACTGGTCTACTGGATTACATGTGGGGCGCCATCACGTGGTCATGTGATGGAGATAAACCTAGGCCCCCCCAGCGCTGAGCCCCAGCGCTGAGCCTAACAGAAACTAGTATAGAAAGTTTTAATATTATAATTATTATTCTCTTTTATAGATACTGATCTCAATGTCTATTGAAGATATTTATTTCTGAATATATAAAGAAATGAGATGATCGTTAATATAGAAATAAAATATAATATATTTATTAATATAAAAGTAAAGATGTAAAATATTTATTTATATATATAATAATATTTATAATATTTATTCAGTAATAAAGAGATTGATTATATATGATAATTATCATGAAAGTATTTATTACTATATAAATAAAGAAAAAAGATATTTTTTACTCTTTGAATTTTTATTTCTTTATAATTTTATAATTACAATTATTATAACTTTTTTATAGTTACTACTATCTCTGATTTTAAAATTTTTCTTATTTTTTTCTTATTTTTATCAATATAATAAAATTTATCTTTGTATTCTTCAAGAAAACCTCTCTGATTTTAATATATTTAATATAATTATATGTATAATAGTAGTTAATATTTAATAAATACATTGAGTTATAGCTTATAATTATTAGCTATGTGACTGATATTATTTTATAGATATTCTCTATAAGTGATGTATACTCAAGCTGAGTAATTTCTTTATAATGTGTAATTTTCTCTATTGTGAAAAGTATTAAAGTTTTTACTGTCTTATATAAAAACTATATATTTGAGTAAGTAAAGTGTATTTTTAACTGCTATATCATAGAGATCTTTATACTATCAATATAATAACTGATTGTTATTTGTCTAACTTACTTTTTTTTCTAAGTCAAGTTGACTACTTATTTTTCAGAGCTTTTTATTCTTTGCAGAGTGAGTAAAATTAGTGAAAATTTCATATTATTAAATAAAGCTGCTATATTTTATAGCAGTATTGATAGCTTTCACTTATACTACTTATTCAGTAAATACTTATACTTTTATTTTGATTAATATTATTTATTATACTTAGTATTAAAATGAGACTGCTTATATATTGATAGTATTTTTTCAAAATATAAAATATGAGAATGTGAAGAAAAAAGTTATATATAAATAAAAAACTTTAAATTGATTGAGCAAAATAGTATTTAACTTGAAAAAAAAAATTATTATATCTTCACAGTATATAATAGTTATAGTAATTATAGATAATGATTAAATCAAAGAGAATTAAAGATGTATATTTAAGTATTTTAATTTATTTTCTTAATTTAATATTAGTAAAATAAATTATTTATATAAATTTAGTAATTTCTAATATTTTACTTATTTTTAAAATTATATAATTTAAAAATTTATATGAGAAAAAGTAGCAAAAATAGTATAAATATAAGAAGAATTAGTACTTAGTGTACTTTTCAGAGTAAGTCTAATGTACTTATAACTATAATATCTGTTATTTAAAAATATTAAATATCTCAATTTTTTAAATATTTTTAAAAGATTTTTATATATTATAAAAAGATTTATAGCTCTTTCAATATACATAATAATATTTCTTTTTTTGATATTTTATTTTTTTAATATCTTCTTAATTTTAAATTTTTTTCTCAATATTTATTAACTTTAATACTAAAAATAAAGTAGTATTATTTCTTATTTTATAAAGTTTAAATATTGCAATATAAAAGATAAAATAAATATTATATAATAAATATAAAAGAAATAATTTATATATTAATATATTTTAAAATTTATTAATTTAAAAAAAGTTAATAAATTTATAATTTAATTTTCTAGTGATATGAAGTATGCAGAAGCTCTTTATATTAAGAAGTATTTATTTTTTTTATATAAAAGTATTTTACATAATATTTAAAATTAAAGTATGTTTTTTATATAATATTAATCTTCTTTAATTGTTATTAATTTTTTTTTTATTGTTTATATTTTTTTATCTCAGTTAACTATATTAATTAAGCTTGAATAAAATCAATTATTAATTTTTATTCAAAGAGCAGATCTATAACTGAGAAGTACATGAGCTGAAACTTTATTGATTGAGTAATATTATAAATTATTATAAATATACTATACTAAAAATAGTTATATATTTCAATTAATTATTCTAATAAGTATTTATAAAATAGTGTAGATAATACTTTAGTATTTAATTTTAACATTCAGCTTAATTCTCTATCTATAAATAAAAAATTATAAATATTTTTTATTTAATTTTAAACATATAATAAAGAGTTTATAAGTACTGATTTATAAAAAAAGCTTCTTTATCTGAAATATAATTTTAAAAATACTAAAAATATTATATATATAAGTATAGATAATATTTATAAAATCTTTTATTATAATATCTTCTGTATATAAAATATATAAAGTATATTTAATTAAGATATGAATTAAGATAAAAATTTTATTATATATTTTATTTAATCAAATTATAACTTAAAGATGAGTGATAAAATTTATATTAATAATTAATTATAAATTAATTAATAATAAGATTTAGTTCAATTTATTACACAGTTGATAATAATATATTTTTATTTTCTGATAAGTATTATAAATATAAATAAATTTAATAATATTTTGAGTAAGATCATATCAATAATACTTATATTAAATATATTTAAAAAATTTTTTTATCAAAATAATATTTTTATAAACTA